GAGTAGTACTTACAAAAGACTAAAACTACTTAATCACTGCCTCCAAACATACAAACCAACCTGCATCCACATTCATCCTTCACACACCCCTCCTGTTAGAATGGATAGTTAAATTTATCCAAGTTTGAATTTTGCCAGGAGTAAGGACCAAGACAAAATGGTGCAAGATAATTTACGATGAGGGCAAGAATGTTTAAAATGATAGACCATGAAATCTATATGCTTAGAGAATGATCTAACAACAGGAAGGTGAGGGCTGACAGCTTACTTCACTTGGTTAGAGAGTGGTGCTGGTAACACTTACCAGCCAGCTGCCCAAAAAACCCCCCAAAAAACCCGGGGGTGAAAAAAAAGGACAGGAAGGTGACAGATGCTATCTATCTAGACATGTTATATTCAGAAGTGTGTCACTAAGTTCATCTGCCTCCTCAATTCCTTTATTTTTATGATATACTGCCTCCTTACTTCCACAAATATTGATTGACCCCTGCTTTAAGGGATATAGGAGTGCACAAAGCAGAAAAGTCCTTTCTTTCATGGAGCTTACATTCTAGTACTGGTATTTTATTTTAATAAAGCTTTATGTTTTTATAGCTCAAAGTTTCAACAATACTTTGACATGTATTGTGTTAATTGATCCATATAACAGCGAGAAGTTAGGATTATTTCCATATCAAAAATGAAGAAATTGAAGCCAAAAGAAGTTCAATAAAACAAACATTTACTGGCTAACTACGTGCTAGGCATGCACCTTGTTAGGCTGAGAATATACTGATGAACAGTACAGGCACTGTCATAGTTGTCTATAGATGAGTGGAGGAGACAAAATAATTACAGGGGTGGTGAATATTATGAAAAGGTGTTAGGTGAGTACATATAGAACGTTAGCTCAGTTCAGAAGGTCAGGGAAGGCCTCCTTGAGGAAATGATATTGAAACTGTAACAAAGGATGAATAAGAAAGAAGAAGGAAAGATTATTTCAGGTAGCAAGGACACAAAGTGGAAAGCCACAGGAGAGAAATATGCTATGTCAAATGACCTGAAAGCAGTCCTGATAGCTGAAAGACGGAAGGGAAGAGTGGCTGAGGATAAAGCCAGAAAGAAGGGCAGATTTCAGATCAAAGAAGGCTTGTAAGCCATGTTAACCAATTTGGAAGATACCCTAAGGACAACAGGAAGCTGATGCAGGAAAATGAGTTTTGTTTCCTAAAAGATCACCTGGGACTTCAATGTAAAGAATGAATTACAAGTTGACGAAAATAGATCCAGGAAGATAATTAGGAGGCTGCTATTATGTAGAATAGTAATAGTTAAGATCTACTAAGTGTTTTGCTATATATTAGGCATTGAGTAAGCACTTTACATGAATTGTCTCCTTTAATGCTCCCCCAAACCCTTTAAATATAGACCCAACTTAAACATCAACTTTGCGATGGTGCAAAAGAGAAGCATTCAGTAGAAACCATACTTTGAGTACAACTATTCTATTTCATTTTTAGTACAGTATTCAATAAATTACATGACATAATCAACACTTTATTATAAAATAGGCTTTGCGTTAGATGATTTTGCCCAACTGCAGGCTAATATAAGTTTTCTGAACATGTTTAATGTAGGCTAGGTTAAGCTATGATGTTCAGTAGGTTAGGTGTATTAAATACATTTTTGACTTAGGATATTTCCAACTTACAATGGGGTTATAGAGACATAATCCCATCGTAAGTCAAGGAGTATCTGCATGTATAATTTATACCCCATACTGTAGGCTAGGTTAAGCTATGATGTTCAGTAGGTTAGGTGTATTAAATACATTTTTGACTTATGATATTTCCAACTTACAATGGGGTTATAGAGACATAATCCCATCGTAAGTCAAGGAGTATCTGCATGTATAATTTATACCCCATATAATTCCAAAAAAAATTAATCTAAAATTAAACCTTTTTGTTTTTGATTGTCAGAGAAGAAAGGTGGAGACCTCTTTAAAAAGATGATTATAGGTGGGTCACAGGTGACTCATATTTTTGAGCATTTACTTTTGCTATGAACATAAAAGGAAGACATTAGCCTCACTTTAAAGATGAAAAAAATAAAGACCAAAGAAGCTGCTTATCCACAACAACATAACTAAGTGGCAGAACTATAAATAAAACATACCCACCTATTCTCCTTATAAAGCCACCAGTGAGAGAAAAAAAAAGCCCATACCCATTTAAAGGTTATGATAAAAAGCTTCTCATCTTCTCAACTTTGTATAAAAAGATACACCAGTAAGAATGAAAACAGAGAACAGTGAAAGTTCCAAAATTACCAAGTTTGTTTATTGCTTATGGGGTCTCTAATTATAAAATGTTAAAATTAACACATTTCTTTGTTCTGCAGGATGTTCTAATCTCTTATCAACCTGATCAGATTATCATCTAACTCCTCTAAAAGGGTATTCCAGTCTGTCCCTTTTTCTGCTTACCTACTATAAACATATCAATAAGCCCAAAGCTTGAGACTAAGGTAAAAAAAAACTACAGTATTCTTAGTCTCATTGATAATCCCATGCAATGACAGCACAGTAAAACAAATACAGTTGTGCGTTGCTTAATGACAGAGTAAAGTTCTAAGAAGTGTGATTTTGTCACTGTAAACAACACAGAGTATACTTACACAAACCTAGATGGTATAGACAACTACACACCTAGGTACATAGTATAGCCACATGGGACCAACTTTGTACATGTGGTTTTATCATTGACCAAAATGTCATTCTGTAGTACATGCCCGATATCCTATACAAGCCTCCTCTTGGTACCTTCTAATCCCCTGCCTGACTAAACGTGATTCACTAGTGCTCTTGATACTATTACCTCCTGTTAATCCTCCTCCAGTGGCTAATGCCCCGTTGCATTTTACAAACTAAAAACAAACAAAAAAACCTTTCCCAAATCTTTGACCCTTAAGCTTTACTTTACCTCCAAAAGTCTTCAATTACCTACCTCTATTTCTCCTAATCACTCTCCCTGGGTGCCTCTTCCCCACTCTATTGAAACCACTAAGCAATCAGACACTTACTAACTGCCAAATGTAGTTGCCTCTTTTTTAGGTTTCATCTTGAGTTTTCTGCACAAGCTACTGAGCACTTAAAAATTTTAACCTTCCTCCCTTAAATTTTTTTTTCTTTCTTTTTTTTTTTAGTCCTTTTTGAGACCGGCCGCACCGCGCTCAGCCAGTGAGCACTGTGAGCACACTGGTCATCCCTATATAGGATCCGAACCCGCGGCGGGAGCGCTGCTGTGCTCCCAGCGCCGCACTCTCCCAAGTGCGCAACGGGCTCGAGGATCCGAACCCGCGGTGGGAGCGCTGCTGTGCTCCCAGCGCCGCACTCTCCCAAGTGCGCAACGGGCTCGGCCCCTCCCTTAAATTTCTTAACCCAACTTTCACCCGTTCTCATCCTAATATATATATATGTATATACACATATATGTATATATATATATGTATGTATATATATGTATATATATGTGTGTATATATATATGTATGTATTTTTTTTTTTTTTTACAGTCTCCTTCTCTAACTCTTCTACATCCTCTGTTTGCCTCTGATATATCAGAGGTCTTCAAAAATTCATGGAAAGATTAGTATTAGCTTTTAATTACATTTTTCCACAAGCTTTTTATAGGATGTTCACATGTATTACACAAGCTTACAAATTTGGCTCTCTTTTCAGTCTATAAAACAGCTGTTAGCCACATGTGATTATGTAAATTTAGATCAAGTAAAACTTCAGTTCCTCAGTTGTACCTCACCACGTTTCAAGCATTCAGTATCTCAACATCATGAAAGTGGCTGGTGTCCACTCCATCAGAGAGTGAGATATAGAACATTTCTATCATTAAAGAAAGTTCTATTGGACAGCGCTGGTCGATATGCTCTCTTTCCATTCAATCAATTAATATTCATTGAGGACTTACTGTGCTCCAGGCACTATTTTGGATCGTGGAGATAGAGCACTTAAAAAACAAACAAAAAAACAATCCCACTCCTCATGGAGCTAACATTTTAGTGGGAGGAGACAGAAAATAAACAATTTGCCACATGAACAATCTCATTTATTACCAAATCATCATATGCCCAGGACTTCTAAAACCCTCTCCTTGGCTCCAATCTTGAACATCCATCTTCCGCCAGATTTCACCACTTACAGAACTATGAAATCTTCTAAATTGTGTCCTGAACTGAACTCAATATCTTCACTTCCCACTCAAACTTTCTTTTTCTGTATTCTTGATTTCTGAATAAACCTGGACTTTTCCTCCTCCTATGTCCTACCATATCCAGTCAACAAATCCTGTCGAATTCATCTCTACTACCAGTGCCCTAAATCTCTTGCCAAAATCCTCCAAAATTAACTTCTCTATTTCTAATCTTCCCACATTAGCTTCACTCTTGCCCTAGTTCATCCTAGTCCATACTGCCATTTTAATTACACTTCTAAAACTCATGTATTTTCCCTGCTCAAAAATCATTGGCTAAACGCGTACAGAATAAAACATAACTCTACTAGAACGAATTCAATGCACTTCTAGTTCCTTTCAAGCAGCAATCTCACCCCATAAATCATTCTTTTCTTCTCCATTTAAAACAAACGCATAAAAACATTCTATTCACCCGTTAAAGGCCCAGTTCAAACGACACTGTTTAGTCTTTACCACTCCCCAGTCAGACGTAATTATTTCCTCTCACCCCATAAATCATTCTTTTCTTCTCCATTTAAAACAAACGCATAAAAACATTCTATTCAGTCTTTACCACTCCCCAGTCAGACGTAATTATTTCCTTTTTAGAGCTTCCGTACCACTTAAATATAGCACAGTGCCTGGGGTATAATGTTAAAAGACAAAATACTTCTGTGTGATACGGGGGAACAAAGCTTTCGACTACATTCTCAGAAACACTTTCTTTCCACGGAGGGCTCAACAGCTTGAAATGCTGTGGGTATTTTCTCACATTCGGAGAGAGCGCATCGATGCTGCCTGGATGTAGGCTTTGCTGGGAGAAATTCTGAGTCCTCCCCTGTCCGGCAGCTTGGTCCCTTCTTCCAAAGGACGGCTCGCAGAACAGGAAGAGGGCTACAGCGGCCACTGGGCGGAAGCTGTAAGGAAGATTAAGGGTGGGTACGACGGAATGAGGTGGAAAGAAACGTTCCAACTGTAGCGAGGATGGAGAACGATATCCCTCTCCGTCCTGTAAGCCACCTACCTAGAGGACCTCTTCTCACTCGCGCCTTCCCGTTCTTCACTGCTGGGAGGCCACCACGCTTCTCTTGCGTGAGCTATCTCTTCCGGGGTTCCTGGACAACAAGTTCCGGATCAAGAACCACGAAGAGAACATTCATTCTTCCTCTTGCCACGCCCACAGAGCCCAAACCGAGAGCCGAACTGAACTCCCGCGAGGATCAGCCGAGGTTGCCGAAAGGAGCGGGGAACGTTTCTCTTCTGGAGGCGGTCTCCGGAGGGGGAACCGGACCGGAAGTGACGCAATGAGTTCCGGTTGGCCGGAGCCCGGCGGCGGGTGTGAGAGTCGGTCGGAAGCCGCTCCCAGGATCCTGAGATCCGGAGAAGCCGGGGTCAGAGCGGGTAGGTAAACGAACGCGGGGAACTGGGGACAGAAGTCTGAGACTGTCCTCAGAGCTTGGCTTCTTCCGGAGCTCTTCCTCTTAGTGCAGATCTGAGGCACCGTGATTTTGACTTCCAGCAGTGTTTTAGAGCGCTCCCGCCAGGCTATCTGGGACATCTCCTCACGGTTGGTTACCCAGACATTGAACCCAGACACTGGGTTCCTGACGGTTCGTACTAGGCTTCTGTAGAGAACTCTTTCCTCTCAGGGTGTTCAGGACCTTGGAGTTAAATCGAGGTCTTCCCTGCTGATGACAGAGCTGTTTCTCAGGATCTGTCAGGTTCTTGCCCTCCCCAGCCACTAGCGCATGATGCTAAACGTTACCACTCCTATACAAAATTCGGGCGAGAAAGTGCCGTCTAAAGCGCTGGTGGAAGGGGGTGGCCAAAGGAATGGGCCTTCGCTCCAAAGAGCCCTTGCAGAAAACGGATCTCCCACTGCTTTTATGAAAAATACAAGTAGAGTTCTCTGCCTTTTCCAAAGCCCTGACCCCTGTATTACATTACAGTGGAGGTATTTGCAGTAAAACATGAAGGTTGACTTAATCTCTAAAATTCCAAGGAGCCATATGTGGCCCTGTGTCACACTGCTAGATTACTTATGACCTCCGGTACATTTTACACAATCATCTTTTGTTTTGCTGCAACTGCATGCAAAAACCTAATAATATGTAGGCTGGCACTGTTTATGTATCTTGGCAGCATCGCTTCTTTCCCTAACTTTAGTGTCTTTCAGTTCTCCCTTGGGGCTTGTCAGAAATTTTGTAGAAAGATTGCATTGATAATTTGGAGAAGCTTGCACAAGTATTTCTAGTGCTGTAATGGTAGAGAATTTAATACTCCGACTGATACTATCTAAAATTGTATTGTCAATAGATCTGATTTTATTTGTGTATTCTTAGCATGGGAGATGATAGGGAGAAACTTTTACTAGGCAGCATTTTATGCATTCTAGATTATGTTTTTATTGAGCTTCGGAAGAGGGATGGTGGTACCCAGAAAAATGTGACCCCTTGTGTAGGTGTGAGATGACTCTAAAGTAGAAATCTTTCGTGTATTACTTCTTTGCCTACGTTATTTTAAAGCACTAAAGCATTTTTTTTTCTTTGAGGGATATATCCTACTTGAATACAGTTAATTAATACAGTTCAATTACTGCGACTCACATTCCAGAAGAAAATACTGGGTTTCTGAAATACTTCAATGAATGGTTTGATGCCTTTATTAGTTTACTTATAGCTAGTTCAATCAGTTTGTTGTTTAATTCATACATTGTTCTTATTTTTGAGCTAGGAAAGTTTTTTCACACTTGTCTTTGAAATGAAGTGACAAGATTTTTGAGATGTGAAATTATAAAAGTAAGATTTATCATTAGTTTAATCCGGCAAACTTGCTTACTGATTGTATAACCCCAAATCTGATCTTACATTCTTTTTATTCAGTTCAGTTACTCAGGAACTGATTGTCCAGTTTCTCTCACTTTTCCAACATCTTACTGTTATTGGCTCAAATCGCCGCTTTTTATAATTTTGAAGATCGTTAAACATTAAATCAGAAGACTTGGATCGAAGTCTGGGCACCAGCATTTATTAAGTAATGATTGGCAGGTTGCCTGACTTTCTGAGCTGGTCTGGACTGTGTTGATAAAAGTACTGCTCACTTTATTTCATAGGATTGTCACAAGGATTAAGTAAGATAGTAAATGTGAAATAACTGTATAAATGAAAATATGGTAATATTCTCATTTTATTCTGAGAGTGGTAAATATATCAGTGCAGAGTACAGTTACTTTGCATCGTTTTAAAATTTGATGTTTTATATTTATGCGAAAATATTATCACACACTTTTCTGAGATGATCTTAACTCTACTTTTGAACATAGTAAAACTAGCCAAGAATAGTTTGATACTGTGATCTATTGAATTAGTTACACTGGTTAATAAGTAGGTGGCTGGGAAATGAGTATAGTTTTGCGCTTAGGACTTTAAATCTGGTTTTTCTTCGTCATTGTATATTCTTATTTGTGAATTTCCAAGTGTAGAAAAAGTTTTTGTTCTTATATGTAGCTAACTAAAAGTTAGAAGTAGCCCTACCTTACTTTCGGTTTTTCTTCGTCATTGTATATTCTTATTTGTGAATTTCCAAGTGTAGAAAAAGTTTTTGTGCTTATATGTAGCTAACTAAAAGTTAGAAGTAGCCCTACCTTACTTTATTAAGTAAGAAATCTTATTATTTCACTGAAGCCTACTGAAACCCAATATTTAGAATTAGAAGAAATCTCTGTGAACATATAATTAGGTTCTTCCCTTGTACTAGAGGAGAAAATTGGGACCCCAAAATAATCAGTAATTGGCTTGCCTGAGTTCATCTGGCTTAGGTAGTGCCAGAACCAGAACTGGAACTAAGGTCTCAAGTGTTCTTTCAGTTTTGCTGAGGTTGTCTCCAGACATCTTGATTAGGTTTGATAATATTTCCTGGTTCGCATGAAAATGTTTTCTCTTATGTATTAAAGGCATACACACATACATGCATATATACGCACACACACCAACAATTTTTTCCTTTTTATCTAGTTTAGTCTTATAAATTGTTGGAAAATAAGAGCTGCTTGGCAAGATTTGCAGTGGAATGGATTAAGGAAATAAAATTAGTTATATTCTCCAGAACAGTTTTTCTGAGTTCATGCTTCATTACTGTTAGGTGTCTTCATTCTGGCAAGTGGAAATGACAGAGGATCCTTGTAACACATGTCTGTACTGAGTTTTTGCTAATGATAGGAGGGAGCTGTATTAATTTCTTTGCTCCTGCTAAAAAAATTGATCCAAGCTGTTTGTAATTTTAATATTCTGTTATGTTAATTATTATCTATAGAGACATTTCTCTAGTTGTTTCATTCTGGGTAAATAGCTGCTATAGAAGAGTTAATTCTTGTTAGGAACTGTTTTTGGTTCCATTGATTTCACAAAACCCATTTAGTCTCTCTCCTTTCTAGGAGATGATAGTGCTAGGTATTACTGTTATTCTTGTTTGTTTGTTTTTTTTTTCTAAGTGTCCTTTGTGTGCCTCTTCCTTTTTGATGTGGAAATAAACCCTAGATTAGAGAATCCTGACGAACAGGATGAATTGAAGTGATAATTTTGTTGTGGTTGTGTTAGTTGAAACTCTCCTTTCACAAAGACTTGCAAATATTTGGGGGAGTAAACTTAGAGCATATAGCCTCAAGAAACTCCTTATTTTGTTCAGGAAAGCAACTTGGGATAGAGTTTGCTGAACTGAAGTTATATATTATGTAAACCCTTACATAAAGCTCTTTTTAGAATATTAAGCTCCTTGATCTGTAGAATCAAGGAAATATGAACAGGAGATAAAAGGTGTCAGATAAAAGGTGATACTTAAAGTTTAAGGCATATTTAAATTAAGCAAAGGCAATCCATTGAGTAACTCTATCCCAGTTAGTCTACCTATAGTTGATAGATAATTTGTTAGTATTCCCCAAATACTTAATCTTTCCAGTAGTTCATTGTGATGTGTTCTCTTGTTTGGGGGGTTGTTTAATGATAGCTTTGGTCGTTATAGATTATCTGCAAAGACTAGGCAGGAAGTTTTAAGAGCCAGGACTATAAAGCTAGACTGCTTTGGTTCAAATTCCAGCTCTATTACTGTGCAACCCTTGGACTTGTTAAGTACTTCTTGCTGTCTCAGTTTCCTCCTTGACAATGAAGTCAGTACCTTTATTATTAGGGTTAAATGAATAGATTTAAGTATAGCATTGAGAACAGTGTCCGTGGCATATAGTTAACTATGATTATGATCATTATCATCATGTGGCACATTGAGCTGTTCCTAAGAACTCTTTCCCAACCCTCTTTTGAAAGCATGTCTTTACATTGCTGCTTACTTAATTATTATTTGCTCATTATTAATGAAGTTTCAGTAAATAAATATCTCAGAGTATACATTTCATTTCATGAATATTTTACAACATATGTGGGGTTCCTAATCAGAGGAGGCATTCTTGTAGGCCGTTCTCTTTACCTTTCTGTATTGTTGTTAACAGATTACATTATTTGTGTAAGTCGTAACACAGAATTTGGGAATTGAAAAAGAAACCGACCAGTTATATATATATATATTTAATGATGTTTTCTAGCGCTTTCTTTGCATGGAAAGATCATTTTCCAATGACATCTATTGCCTTATCTGTTCATTCATACAGTCAATAAATAAACATCTTGTGTCCTTGGCTTTATACCATGTTCTGGGGAAAACAATGGAAAACAAGAGGTG